AACTAATCTATAAATTTATATATACAATGTTAATAGATAGATATAAACTATAAATATATATTAATTAAATAGTTTATTTGGTTTAATTATAACAATATAAGTTTAACAAAAACCAAACTGAATAATATATATTTATTTGGTTAACCACACCGAAAACCAAATAACACGAACCAAATAAACAAAATATCATTTGGTTCCATTTTGTTATTCGTTTTTCGATTTTTTATCATCCTGTTCAAACAAGTAGAATCAAACCAACTTGTAAGATAATTGAATTTATTAAAGATGATAATAACACTTTCAAACCAAGAAAAAGAAACACCTATGAATTTATTAAATGTTTATTAGTTATTATTGTATGTTACTTGAGATTTATTTATGATTTTAATTGAAAAGCAAACATTGTTACTAGACTAAATAATAAATAAATTGCTATTAGTAGCGTACGATAAATATTACTTTTTTGAAACTTATTTAGTTATATATATTAACTAGTACAAACAGTCCCACGCTTGGCAACAGGATTTTTTTTTTTTTTTTTTTTTTTTTTTTTTTTTTTTTTTTTTTGGTGATTGTGTTTGACATTGGCAAGCAATACATTTTGTAAAAGAGTCAAGCATACAACTACTAGAAAAATTACTTGCAAAGTACATTGCTAGCTATTTTGTTGTATTTAAACTTAAAAAATCCACTTTGGTGATTGTGTTTGACATTTGCAAGTTAAATAACATACAAATACTTCATCACGTAATGCAAGAAATGCATTTTGTAAAAGAGTCAAGCATACAACTACTAAAAAAAATTACTTGCAAAGTAGATTGCTATTTTGCTGTATTTAAACTTAAAAAATCTGACATATCTCTTGTTTGTACAATTCTTCAAGCGCTCTCCATATTGTTTATGTCAAGTTAGTGTGTTTGGGTTTGTTCTTGTATGATATTTGTTATTATTAGTGTCTCAAAGTAAGCATTTCTTTTTTTTTTTTTTTAAATTCCGGTGATACATCTAAACATACAAATTTATTAGTGGCTGACCCTTTTTTTCTTATTAGGTTCTCATATTTATTTTTGTTTCAAGATTTTTCCCCAAATTAACATACAAATGATGGAATACAAAAAATAAAATCACCCATTTCTGATGCATCACTACAAGAAATGAGGCCTATACTGATGATATTTTTAGCAACTATGCAGACGACATGTTGTTTGTAAAGCCTATACAGACGACTTGTCGTCGGTAAAAAGTCGTCTGGATAGCTCCGACCGTAAAAGTGGAGAATGTCGTCGGGATAAATGTCGTTAGTACAGAACAACCAATGCAGACGACATGTCGTCGTAAAAGGTTCGTCGAGACAAATTTTCGCAAAAGAAAAAAAAGTTTTAACATATAAATATTTAGATGACATGTCGTCGGTATAAATGTCACTTTTACTGTAACATCCATAAAAATTCATAAAATTTAAACTTTTCAAAACAATCATTTTTCTAAAGAAGTGTTTACAAAAACCATTGTTCCCAAACCATTATTTAAAAATCAGAATCACTTGCAACATAATTTTCAAAATATTCACATTATCTGAGTTTCCTAAAAATCATAAGTCCAAAACGCGAGGATGTGTACGGTCACACATTCACCTTGTTACGGTCCACTGAAGTACCTGAAACCATAAATCAAAACTGTAAGCACGAAGCTTAGTGAGTTCCCCTAAAATACCAACACCAATAAGATAACATATACAAATAACAGCATACTATGGGTCCAATCAACCATCTCGTTGGAATGCCAACATACTATGTGTCCACTCAACCATGAAGTTGGAATACCTCAGGCCCTCAATCATCGGGTTGGAATGCCAACATACTATGGGTCCAGTCAACTATCGAGTTGTAATACTCTAGATCCTCAACCATCGGGTTGGAATGCCAACATACTATGGGTCCAATCATCCTCAGGATGGAATACCCTCGAGCCAATTCAAACATCGGGTTGGAATGCCCTAGCCTGTTGGCTTACGCACAAAGTAGTGAACCGTCAGCCACCAACCAAACATGTGCACATATAACAGATAATCATATGAAAGTTTATAGCCAAACAAACAGATCTACAGATCACTAAGCATAGCAACATCGTATCTACCTGGATATCGATCTAACAAATCATAACAACATAGCAACATCCTATCTACCAGGATAACGATCTAATAGATCATAACAATACTCAATCATAAGATAAACCGGGATAACAATCCTAAGGGCCGATATTGGTGCCTTCAACCCGTAAATACAGTAAGGAAAACTTAGCTCGAATGCAAAACCTCCCCGAAAGAAATCCCTAGCTTCTGCCCTGCCGGCTTCCCAAGCTATCAATACTAACAACACACCAAATTAGTAATCGGGGTCCATGCTATAATACATAACCCTTACTTGGGGTACAATGACCATTTTATTCTTGACCCAACATGGACCAAAACTAAGGCCCAAAACCAAAAAGATCCACAAAGGCCCAAATTTCCAAATTTGGCCCAACCCCATATGGGCCTTATTCTAAGCCCATAATTTCCTTATTACAATTCAGATTTCCTCAAGTACACTTTGGGACAAACTTGTTCAATGACATAAATCGAAAGTCAAAGTTAATTGTCCAAGCTTAGCTAACTCGCTAAGTTGTCCTTCAACTCGTCGAGTTTCTCCATCAATTGCATAGATTAGGAAAAACGAAGTCAACTCACTGAGTTGAACAACAAGTTCGTCGAGTTCCTCTACCAATCTGAAAATTTCGAGGAAAATCGAGCCAACTCGCCGAGTTTATCCATAAACTCGCCGAGTTGGCCAGAAACCCTCATCTTAATATGTTAAGCACTTAATCCTCAAGGATATGACTCCAAAACATAGGTCTGACTTGCTTGAGCTCGAAAACCACATAATGTTGCCAACTTTACCTTAATGAATGTCCAAATGAAGCTCTTAAGCTTGGAATGGACTTAATAATTGACTTAATGCATGCATGACACTAAGATCCTCATATAATTTTCACCTTTAAGCTCAAGGGTACCAAAACCAACTATCAGAATGAATAACCCTTAAATGAATTCACTCCATCATCATCCCCAAAAGAGGCCAAAAACACAACAAAATCCAAAATGAGGAGATATAATCATCTGCATGTCAAGGTATGAACTTGATATCTTAAAATGACTGCAAGGAATGGAGTGATTCTGGATCCAAGACTTCCTTATCCAAGCTAGAAACTTCAAGATCTTCTAATCCCTTCACAATGCACAAAAGGAACACTAAACTTCCTTCCAAGGCTCAAAAACTTGACAATGGAGGCTACAAATCATTTTAGGGTTCGGATAACAATGGAGGCTGATAAGGTGGCCAAAAAAGGACTTAAGGCCTTTAATTAGGGTGCAAGACCCTAAAAATTAGGGTTTCCTTCCTAGCTACCAAGACTCTAAGTTGAGGCATCTCAACTCGTCGAGTTGGTTAATTAAACCCTTGCGATCCTTCCATCTTCAACACGTCGAGTTGGTCCCTCCAACTCGTCGAGTCGACCTAGAAATAGGGTTATTCTCAACAACTTCTCTTCAAGATTTCGGATGTTACAACCCTCCCCCATTTAAAGTAGATTACATCCTCGAAATCGTTCTTACTAAGACACATAACAAAACAACACTTGAGGAATGCACCTGAAAATTTGGTTAATTAATTTATTTTTAATACAAAATATAAAACAATTATAAACCTAGAATGGTTAATAATTAAATAATAAGTTATGAAAATCTTAATAACTAATCTATAAATTTATATATACAATGTTAATCGATAGATATAAACTATAAATATATATTAATTAAATAGTTTATTTGGTTTAATTATAACAATATAAGTTTAACAAAAATCAAAACGAATAATATATATTTATTTGGTTAACCACACCGAAAACCAAATAACACGAACCAAATAAACAAAATATCATTTGGTTCCATTTTCTTATTCGTTTTTCGATTTTTTATCATCCTATTCAAACAAGTAGAATCAAACCAACTTGTAAGATAATTGAATTTATTAAAGATGATAATAACACACTTCAAACCAAGAAAAAGAAACATGTATCTATTTGTCCGCTTTCAAATCAAGAAAAAGAAACTTGATTAACAAACAATTGTGCTATTATATATCCTTATGTAATTTTTTTCTGATCATCTTCTTACGTATATTAAATGTCATAGTCAGTTTTGATGATTTACCCCCCCCCCCCCCCCCCCCCCCCCCCCCCACCAAAAAAAAAAAAAAAAAAAAAAACACCATATAGCTTCCCATTTTGCACCTTAACATCCTCCATGTTAAATATAACACGTTGATATGTATTATATTTAATGAAATTAATAATATTTTAATATATTTGTCATTATTTAATGTGTTAGAAGATATGTAGGAAAAAAGGTAGAAAAATATTTGATTTCTTTTATATATATATATATATATATATATATATATATATATATATATATATATTATATATATAAAATTTAATCAATTATATTTGTTGCCATTCTAAAATAACTTGATAATTTTCATGCCAAAATGAAAATATACAAAGGAATGAAATAATCATTTCCATTTTATAATCTCTCCTGAACACAGTTCAAGTCTGGATCACTTATTTAGTAGAATTCTTTATCATATAGAAATTTAAGTACAAATGTCTGGATCACTTATTTAGTAGAATTCTTTTTTCCCATATAAAGAATGTCCATGCTCCACACGTGGTAAGTTATTTAAATTATTGTTTTTTTCTTCTGATACGACGACATATTTATTTTATTTTTTATCAATTTATTTTGATAATTATTTTTCTCCTCTACTCTCTCACTTTTCATCACAGTTTTGATTCACTTTCCCCTCCCCAATCAGAAACACAACTGCCTTCAAGAAATCCCCCCAGGCTCCAGCGATAAAAAAAACCTGGTTTAAGAAGTGTCTTCACTTCGATTTTAATTTAACTATCGAACCCAAAAATAGCTCAAGAATATATATATTACACAATACGATGCATACCAACCAAAATTAAATATAGATGCATACAAACCAACAAAATATGGATATAATAATTTACATGATGTCCTCCAGCTCCCAAATTTAAAAGCATCATTCCAAGACATTTAAGCCTCGCTTTATTCTTGCTTCAAATATATTACACACTTCATTGGTAATAAACATTATCGCCACTACATACCGTTAACCTTTGTATGCTGTGGCACTTGGTCTTGGCTCAAACTCTTCATTAAATGTCCTTTTACCTTTAAGACTTGCAGTGTTGTCGTAAACGGAGATATTTGGTCTTGGCTCAAACTCTTCATTAGACATCTTCTTACCTTTTACATTTTCTCCATTTTCATAAATCGAAATATTTGGTCTTGGCTCAAAGTCATCGGGAAACATCTTCTTATCTTTTAAACCTGCGCTGTTATCATACACTGAGATATTAGGCCTTGGTTCGAAGTCCTCTTTGGAGGACTTTCTTTCGTTGCATTTGCTTGATCTCTTTGTGACATCGGTTGACACCAAAGAACCTCCATGAACATGCGAGTTTTGCTGATATTCTTCAGGATTTGGCCTAGCATAGACAGTGACAGTGATCTGCTAAACAATATTTGAAAAACTATTGGTTAGCATAACAAAGCTAATTAAAAAAAAATACGATTATTGTAATGTTGCACCATAGATTTATAACATCAAGACAATAAAAATTTATCTACCATGATGAGAAAAAAGAGTGCCAAGAAAGAAAGACGCGACTCCATGTTCCAAGTACAAATGTCTCTTGGGGCTGTTGGTAATTGCAATGAATGATCATAGTTCGTATTTATATAGTGTAATCGAGAATCTTACCATCCAAAGAGACATACAAACTAAAATTGTGTTCCTTTAATAATATAATATTCACTCAAACTATTTTATAATATTCATGAGATTTCTGATAAGGTATACAACCGAGGTCATATTGTACAAAATCATATTGATTACACAATATATTAACAAAATTAATTTACAATTTACAAAAAAGATATTAATAAAATTTTGGGATGACCTCTGGTTTAGAAATTAAATGTTTATTAGTTATTATTGTATGTTACTTGAGATTTATTTATGATTTTAATTGAAAAGCAAACATTGTTACTAGACTAAATAATAAATAAATTGCTATTAGTAGCGTGCGATAAATTTTACTTTTTTGAAACTTATTTAGTTATATATTAACTAGTACAAACAGTCCCACGCTTGGCAACAGGTCTTTTATTTATTTATTTATTTTATTATTATTATTTTTTTTTGGTGATTGTGTTTGACATTGGCAAGCAATACATTTTGTAAAAAACTCAAGCATAGAACTACTAAAAAAATTACTTGCAAAGTACATTGCTAGCTATTTTGTTGTACTTAAACTTAAAAAATCCACTTTGGTGAT